ACCCTCCCACTCTTCCGCCCCTCTTCCTCCCCTTTTCCTCCCCCTCCCACCCTTACCCTTTTCCCCACAACCCCACCCACCGCCTGGTGGGCGCCAGACTGGGCTAGTGCGCACGCGCAGGCCGCACGTGGCCGTTGGAAGGCGGGGCCCGGAATGTGTGGGAGTGTGTCTGTCGGCCGGCTGGGGCTGGGGGAACAAATGGTACGTGACTCCTGTGACCCTAGGGCCCCGGCCCCAGCCACGAAGCTCTCGTCTGTTCCTGGCCCACTCTCCGTTCCGTGCTGCCCCTTAAAAGCTGGGGCCTTGGCCCAGGAACGACAGATATTACAGCCAATGACATGGCGCACAGTAGATGTGGCACCCAATCAAAAGGCGCAGCTATGGGGAACCACCCCTGACTCCAGGTGACTCCCTGACAGGGAGGTGCAATGTCTCCGTCAGCTGATAGGATGCTGGCTCAAGGCGAATTACCTAGGACGAAGCTGCCAGAGCGCCTGGGCAGTGCCAGCCGCAGAATCCTTGTGTGCTGCAGTCGAGGAGGGTGATGGAGGAACATCAGAAGGCTGGAAAGGAGAGCGAGGTAAGGAAAGGATGAAAACCTCTTCCCAACTTCTCCCTCACTACCTAATATCCAATTAGATGTGGAGTGGGGGGAACTGAGCAGGAGGGTGGGGCGCCTCTGTGGTACTTGCATGAGGACTGGTGAGGATGCCAAGGAAGACAGGGTTTTACAACCTCGCCCTAACAGATAGAAAAAGGACCTGTCACTGTCAGTCCTCTCCCCAGGACGCATTCGCTCTGGCTCTATAGGGAAAAAAACAAAAGGCAGGATATTAAGGATTGAGAAGGGACTGACGTCCTTTTCTTTCCCAAGGTGGGGGAGTCCTATTCAGCCCTAATGGCTTCATTTGTGCATCTGTGTTCATATAATCATAAGACCATTCATTGTTCATTCTTTCCTTTCAAATCCACTCTACAAAGAGCTATCGGGCATCTGTATTGTGCCGATGATGGTTAGGGTATACAGAGGTGCACACTTTTGGGGGTTGGAGGCATATGCATAGTGGGCTGTGGCTGAGGATCAGGATGGAGAATCTGGTCCATTGTTGAGGTCCCATCTCCTTCAAGCCAATACCAACCAGTGTAGGTCAGAGTAGAGGGCTGAGACAGCAGAAAGAAGTTAGGGGATTATGGGACTACACCAATGAGCTAGACTGTGAATATTTGTGTGAGGGGCAAGTTGGAGAGACTGTCTTGGGAATGAGGGACAAGCCAATAAGTAAGGAGTGGGGTTCAAGTTGAGCTTAGAGGGGCAAGAGGGGGCAAGAGACACAAAACATGGAACACAAAGTGTCTGCTTTAGTGTTTATCTATGTTAATATTTATGGGTAACTTAGTTAATATATATAAAATGCTTAGACCATATATACAGGGCGGCCAAAAAGTTCATGTGCAACTTAGAACAATTTATTGCACAGGAATTTTATGGCCACCCTGTGTATAATAGTTAGAGTAGTGCCTAGCATATTGCAAGAGCAAATATGAGTGTTACCTATTATGTTATTGTTAATCTTTTTATTACTGTTACCATATGGGATGCCATATGTTTTGAGCATATGGAACTGCACCTGCACCCTTTGTAGGAGCCATAGTATCTGAAAGTCCACTATTGTTACTTATCTTGAAGGTTAAGTGTTGCCTTCTAATTAAGATCATTCTGTAAATATAGGGATAGTAAAAGAAATTAAGGTAAAAATTTAATAGAGGAGAAGATGAAATAAAATACTATTTGATTAATCCAGCAGAAGGCAACAAAGAATAAAAGAATAAAAACAGATGGAACAAGAAGAAAACAAAAAACAAGATGGCAAGTTTGTAGTCTGCTCTATCGGTAATTATGAACTGATAAACACTCAAATTAAAAAAAAAGTGTCATATGGGCAATACCTTGATTATAAAGGAGATAGGTTCCTTAGGTTTGTTCTTAAGTTGAATTTCTATGTAAGTTGGAACAGGTACTTTTTACCTGTTACTTGGAACAGCCTCTGTTCTTAAGTGTGAGTCTATGTTAGTTGGATGTTTATAACTCAGGGACTGCCTTATTGAATTTTGAAAAAAAATAACTGTAGTCTGTTAAAAGAGCCTTCCTTAAATATAAGGACATAGAAAGGTTGAAATAAAAGGGTAGGAGAAAATATACCATGAATACACTAACCAAAGGAAAACTGGTGCAGCTACATTAGTTTCAGACAAAGTAGACTGTAAGTCAACAAGTATTGCTAGAAATAAAGAGGGACATTTTATAATAATAAAAGTATTGATTCAACAGAAAGATAAAACGGTCCTAAATATATATATACTTAATAATATAGCTTCAAAATATGCAAAAATAAAAAATGACAGAACTTTATTGTTATTAAATTTTAAGCCTTTTTAATTCTGTAAAGGCAAAAAGTGGAACCCTAATAATCACATGTTATGTAAAAATAGAAAAATTTTTAAAAAATGACAGCACTAAAAGGAAAAATAGACATGCTCACAAATATAGTTAGAGATTTTAACTCTAATAACACAACTCTCTCAATTACTGTAAACCAGTAAGGATTTAGAAGATTTAAATACATGATTAATCAACTTGATCTAATTGACTCATGTAGAGCTTTATAACCAGCAAATTATAGAAAACACATTTTTTTTCAAGTACCTATGAAACATTTACCAAAACTTGTCTTATGTTGGGCTATACTACAAGTATAAATACATTTTTTTTTTTTTGAGACAGAGCCTCAAGCTGTCCCCCTGGGTAGAGTGCTGTGGCATCACAGCTCACAGCAACCTCCAACTTCTGGGCTCAAGCAAGTCTCCTGCCTCAGCCTCCCAAGTAGCTGGGACCACAGGTGCCCGCCACAACGCCCAACTATTTTTTGGTTGTAGCTGTCATTGTTGTTTGGTGGGCCTGGGCTGCATTCAAACCTGCCACCTCAGGTGTATGTGGCTGGTGCCTTAGCCACAGGCACTGAGCCTCAGTACATTTTTTGATGTCCCTGAGTGGGCATGATCAACAAATTTTTTTTTTTTTGAGACAGACTCTGTTTGTCACTCTTGGTAGTGTGCTGTAGCATCATAGCTCACAGCAACCTCAAACTCTTGGGCTCAAGTGATTCTCTTGCCTCAGCCTCCCAAGTAACTAGGAATACAGGCACCTGCCACAATGCCCGGCTATTTAAAGACAGGGTCTTGCTCTTGCTTATGCTGGTCTTGAACCTGTAAGCTCAGGCAATCCACCGGCCTCAGCCTCCCAGAGTGCTAGGATTACAGGTGTAAACCATTGCAGCCCAGCCTCAATCAACAGATTTTATTTTATTATATATATATATTTTTTTGTTTGTTTGTTTGTTTTTTGTTTTTTTTGGTAGAGACAGAATCTCACTTTATCACCTTCAATAGAGTGCCCTGGCATCACACAGCTAACAACAACCTCCAACTCCTGGGCTTAGGCAATTCTTTTTCCTCAGCCTCTGAAGTAGCCGAGGCTACAGGGGCCCGCCACGACACCCGGCTATTTTTTTTTGTTGAAGTTTGGCTGGGGCCAGGTTTGAACCTGCCACCCTTGGTGTATGGGGCCAGTGCCCCATCTACTGAGCCACAGATGCCGCCCAGACTGGCTATTTTTTTGTTGCAGTTGTCATTGTTGTTTAGCTAGCCAGGGCCAGATTTGAATCCACCAGCCTGGGTGTGTGTGGCTGGCGCTGTAACCACTGTGCTACAAGCACCGAGCCATTATCAACAAATTTTAAAAGACTGAAATCATCCGGAGTATATGGAGTATATTCTCTCACCCAGAATTAACTAGGAATCAAAACAAAAAGATAACTAGGGCTGGGCGCCTGTGGCTCAAGCGGCTAAGGCACCAGCCACATATACCTGAGCTGGCGGGTTCGAATCCAGCCTGGGCCCACCAAACAACAATGACAACTGCAACCAAAAAATAGCCAGGCGTTGTGGCGGGCACCTGTGGTCCCAGTTACTTGGGAGGCAGAGGCAGGAGACTTGTTTGAGCCCAGGAGTTGGGGGTTGCTCTGAGCTGTGATGCCACAGCCACTCTACCCAGGGTGACAGCTTGAGGCTCTGTCTCAAAAAAAAAAAAAAAAAAACTAGATTTCAACATATTTGGAAACTAAGTAACAAGCTTCTAGATAACTCACATCATAGGACATAGGGTAGGAGAATAGGGAGGAAGGGAGCTGCAGAAATATACATGCTTTGCCTGTAAGCTGTTGCCTCTTGCCACCAAAAGTAGTGAATGGAATGATTTTGGAGCCCCTCAAAAGAGGTGGGGACTTCTCATCCAACTCAGCCCTGGTGAAGGGGTACCTGCTGCAACCAGCTCAGGAAAGGGTGGGCAGGGAGCTGAGAAAATAAAGGCATGGGGGTGGGGTGGCGCCTGTGGCTCAGTGGGTAGGGAGCCAGCCCCACATACCGAGGGTGGCAGGTTCAAACCCGGCCCTGGCCAAACTGCAACAAAAAATAGCCGGGTGCTGTGGTGGGCACCTGTGGTCCCAGCTACTTGGGAGGCTGAGACAGGAGAATCGGCCAAGCCCAGGAGTTGGAAGTTGCTGTGAGCTGTGTGACGCCACGGTGCTCTACCCAGGGCGATAAAGTGAGACTCTGTCTCCACAAAAATAAATAAATAAATAAAGGCATGGGGTTGGAAATCAAGAAATTGGGATCAAATCTGGCCCTGTTGCTTTTCAGCAATGTGGCCCTTAGACAAGTTACTTTACCTCTCTGGTGGTCTCAACTTCAACATCTATAAAATGGGGACATTTTGCCTGCCTCTGAGGATGGGAGGGCAAAGAATGTTTTGGTAGTTGCAAAGCTCAGAGCAGGGGCTTATCGGGATTCCTGGTTGGGGATCCTGAGGCACTGCAGAGGCCTTGCTGCTGAGGAGGTCTCTACTGGTGGACCAGAGAGACCTCCCCTCTCCTGCAGCCGCCTTCCATGTCGGTGGATCTGCAGGGAGACAGCTCTTTACAGGTGGAGATCTCTGATGCAGTGAGTGAGCGGGACAAAGTGAAATTCACTGTTCAAACCAAGGTAAGGCAGTACAGAAAAAGGAGAGGTGGTCCAGATGGCTTCCTGCAGGGGGCTGCCCCTGGGGGTGGTAGGCTTGTGACAACATAGCCCTTAGGTCCTGTTCCTTCACTTGGCTTTTGCCTTCAGCCCCTCCTAGAGGGCAAGCATCTTGCCTAGTCTCTGGTTGCCTTTGCCTGAGACCTTAAGACCTAACTGTTCCTTTCCACCATCCTGAGTGAGATCATGGATACATGAGCCCCAGCTTGGGCCTCATCTGGGATGGGGAGGCCCCAAAATGGGTGTCCAAGAGGCTTGATGGGTACAGGCTTGGGCAGGAGGGAGACTTCACACAGGCCTCCTGCTTCCAGAGCTGCCTCCCGCACTTTGCCCAGACCGAGTTTTCAGTTGTGCGGCAGCATGAGGAATTCATCTGGCTACACGACGCCTATGTGGAAAACGAGGAATACGCAGGCCTCATCGTGAGGAGGGGAGAGGTGGGGAGGGCAGGGCAGGTGCTAGCACTTGGATGAAGTTGCCTTGCAATAAGAGGCTTCCCAGCTCTATCTTTCCTTTGAGCAGATCCCCCCAGCACCTCCAAGGCCAGACTTTGAGGCTTCCCGGGAAAAGCTGCAGAAGTTGGGCGAGGGGGACAGCTCCATCACTCGTGAGGAGTTTGCCAAAATGAAGCAGGAACTAGAAGCGTGAGTGCTACCTCCTTTCCTGCTGAGTGGGAAGGGCGTCGGCAGGACGATTGAGGAGGTCCATGAGCTGTCTGCTGGCCCTGCAGGGAGTACCTGGCCATCTTTAAGAAGACAGTCGCAATGCATGAAGTCTTTCTGCAGCGTCTGGCAGCCCACCCCACCCTGCGTCGAGACCACAACTTCTTTGTCTTTTTGGAATATGGACAGGATGTAAGCTGAGCCAGAGTTCTGGTGTCATCCTTGGGGCAAGGGTCTAAGATGATGGTGGGGGCAGCAGCAAGGCTGGGGATGGGGCTATAAGTAGGCTAAGCCTCTGTTTCCATCAGTTCCATGAGTGGAATGTGACTCGGGATGGGAGGTGCAAACGCCCACCCCAGCATCACACCCTCCCTTCATGTGCCTCAGCTGAGTGTCCGAGGAAAGAACAGGAAGGAGCTCCTTGGGGGCTTTCTGAGGAATATTGTGAAATCTGCGGATGAAGCCCTCATCACTGGCATGTCAGGACTCAAGGTGACCTGTGGGCCCCTCTCAGGATTCAACTCAGGGCCTTGCATCCACAGCAAGGATTGAAGCCCAGAATGACTGTGGGAGGAAAGCCACTGGTGGGGCCTGGCCTGGGTTAGATGGAGATTGCTCCTGGGTGCCCATGTTGCCATGTCCCTGGTGACCCAGCGTAAGTGGGGTCCTGTCTGACTCCCTTAGGAAGTGGATGACTTCTTTGAACATGAGAGGACCTTCCTGCTGGAGTACCATACCCGTATCCGAGATGCCTGCCTGAGGGCTGATCGTGTCATGCGCTCCCACAAGTGTACGCTGGGCCTGAGGGGTCCTGGATCCCCCTGCCCCTCTCCCTAGTGGCTCTACTTCCTGGGGAGAGAAGAGAGCAGAGAACACCCTGGTGTCTGTCCATGGCCACAAACACCAGGGGTGGGGCTTGACATTGCAAACCTAGGGGCTCTGATGGGGGGTTATTCCCCAACAGGCCTGGCAGACGATTTTATCCCTATCTCAGCTGCACTGAGCAGTCTGGGAACACAGGAAGTCAACCAACTAAAGACGTGAGGACTCCCTGTTGCCATCACCCTCCCATCCTCTATGCCTGTAATACTATGTCTGCTCATGAGGGGTCACTCTGTAGAAGTCTACTCTGGACCTGGGTGGGAGGTGTAGCAGCTCTTGCTGGGGCTGGGGAGAAAAGGGGAGGGGGAGATTCCCCAACTAAGGGCTGAGGGCAGAGGCTTCAAGCTGTTTCTCAGCCTCCAGCCCTAACTACCCTCCCCCTACTGCCTCCCAGGAGCTTCCTCAAACTGGCAGAACTCTTTGAACGACTGAGGGTAAGTACTGCCTTTTGCACTCAGAGGCTTTCCTGGTGGGCCTTTGGAGGGAAATGAGTCCTAGGAGAGTGGAAAGCTCCAGGATTGTTTTGGAACATTCAGTGACAACTTGGGCCCAGTGGTATCCTGGGCTCACAATCCAGATTAGTTTTATAACAGGTGGAGTGGAGACTAGAATCCAGTGTACATGTGATAGGGGAGAGGGGAGGAGGCAAAAGGATGTGCCATGTGCCTGTGGCAGGCTGCCCCAAGCGGCCAAGGTGCTGCTCAGCTGCACACTTCCTGAACTCTTCTACAGTGTGCCAGGCTTCCTATAATGTCTCTTCTCTGCTTGAGGCCCTTTAGGGGGCCTGCAACTCCCAGAAGCTACCCAAGACACGAAGCCCAAAGGGCTTAACTTCCACTTCAGGCCTCTTGTAATCCAGCCACTGACTCCCTTCCCTGATTTGCCCTCACTGAACTAAAGGTTCCCTGAACACCCTGGGCTTGTGCACCTGCAAAGCCTTTGGCTTATTCTCTAACTCCTACTCAACCTCCAAAATCCAGGTCAGATGCCACTTCCTCTGTGAAGCCCCAACCTTCATGGCCTGACCTAGAGTGGGTACCAAGTGATTCTTTGCTGGACATTTAGATAAGGAGGAGCTTCCCACTCCTTAGCTGTTGCTCTGGCAAACTCCCTTCCCACTCCCTACCTTCCAACACAGAAGCTGGAAGGCCGAGTGGCCTCTGATGAGGACCTGAAGCTATCAGACATGCTGAGATACTACATGCGAGACTCACAGGCAGCCAAGGTGAGAGGCAGTCCCAGAGTAGAGCCCAAGGCTGGAGACCACTGTGACAAGCTACAGTGACCCCTTTACCCACTGGCCCTAGGACCTGCTGTATCGGCGGCTGCGGGCACTGGCTGACTACGAGAATGCTAACAAAGCCCTGGACAAGGCGCGCACCAGGAATCGGGAGGTGCGGCCTGCCGAGAGCTACCAGCAGCTGTGCTGCCAACGCTTTGAACGTCTCTCTGACTCTGCCAAGCAGGGTGAGCCCATGATCTTCAGTCACTGGGCTGCCTACCCTGCTTTGGGTCACCATTCCTCTTCCCTCTCCTTTCCAGAACTCATGGACTTCAAGTCCCGCCGTGTTTCTTCTTTCCGCAAGAACCTCATTGAGTTGGCAGAGCTGGAGCTCAAACACGCCAAGGTAAACCCTCTCCACCTCCCTTCCCCAGACGCAGGAGAGCAGCCCCAACTGAGGTTCAGGGTATTTTACCATCTTGGGCCAGGACTCCTCCTATCTCTTCATTGGTAGGAAGCACCAATAAATGACAGCTATTATTGCAGGGTAGGGGCATGGGGAGGGAGGGGGCTGAGCTATCTAAGGTGGAAAAGACAGCACCCAGCGTCAGGGAGCAGGGGATTTCAAGGCTGTCTTACCTCTACAGACCAGCACCCTGCTTCTCCGGAACACCCTTGTCGCCCTAAAGGGGGAGCCTTAGAGCAGCCCAAACCTGCTATGGGACCTTCAGTGACAAGGGCTTCCAGGCCTCCCTCCTCAGCAAGATGTCTCCCCTTCCCTACCACAGCAGCCACTAGCCTTGCCCTCACCCGTGTCCTTCCAGGGTAAGCACGAGCCCCACCCCTCACAAAGGTGCCAGGCTCTGCAAGAGGAAGACAGGGCAGCATGGGTACCATACTTGGCCACAGGTCAGTGGAGCCCCAGGAGGCTCAGAACAGCCTCTAATCTCCTCTGGCCTTGGAGAAGTAGCTCATTTGCTCAGCCAGCCTGTTCTTCACAAATAAAGAGCCTGGTTTTACAGCAAGGGGGTCTACTCTTCCTTTTCCCACAGCTAAGGGGCCCACTGAACACATGCCAGGGAATTGTGAAGACCAGGTCCTGGGGACACAAAGGAGGGGACCCCTTGTAGTACCCTCAGCCCTTTTTCCAGTGGCAGCCATAGGAAGGCTGTAATACTTGGAACCCTGAAATAGTTCACAAGGTTTGCCCCACCTTCAAACCTGACAAAAACTGCATATTTAATAACCCTGGCCAGGCACGGTGGCTCACACTGTAATCCCAGCACTCCAGGAGGCCAAGGTGGGCGGATGGCCTAAGTGCATATGAGTTCAAGACCAGTCTAGAGACCCCCCCAACCCTTTCTCTAAAAATAGCCAGGTGTTATCCAGGGTGGGGGTGCCCATAGCTCAGTTATTAGGGCACCAGCCACATGCCCCCAGGATGATAGGTTTGCACCTGGCCAGGGCCTGCTAGACTGGAAAAAAAAAAAGCCAGGCATTATGGCCAGTGCCTGTGGGAGGCTGAGGCAAGAGAATTGCTTTAGTCCAAGAATCTGAAGCTGCTGTGAGCTATGATGTCATCGCACTCTACAGACGGCAACAAAGTGAGACTCTGTCTCAAAATAAATAAATACCTGTAATCCCAGCCAGAAGTAATCTGGGAGGCTGAGGTGGGTGGACTGCCTGAGCTCAGGAGCTTGACACCAGCCTGAGCTAGAGCAAGATTGCCTCTCTAAAAATAGCCAGGTGTTGTGTTGTGGTGGGTACCTGTAATCCTAACTACTCGGGAGGATGAGCCAAGACAATTGCTTGAGCCTGAGTCTGAGGTTGCTGTGAGCTATTACACCATAGCACTCTATGACATAGTGAGACTTTGCCTCAAAGAAAAAAAAAGAACAACAAAAAAACATCCAGCTCTAACTTCATAAGGCTCTTTTCAGTTTGGTGGATTAGGGGAGGAATAAAGGCTGAATTATCACCAATTTACCTCACCCAAGGGCTGAACTCCTTTGCCTGCTGGGCAGGTAAAAGCCCAAAGTACAGGTTTGAGATAGCCCATAGCAATGCTCAGGGCACCAGCAGCACCCTCTTGGTTAAACACAGGGAGGTGGGGTTCAAGACACCTGGGTCTGAAGTCCTGGGCTCCACCTAGATGGCTCCACCCTGAATGGACTCCAGCTACATCAACAGAAGGCCAAAGGCTCAACTTGGCCTCTGACTCACAGCAGCCACTGAACCTGGCGCTCATAAATGAAGAGTCAGCCATCCAGAGGAAAGACCAAACAGAACCTTGAAGGTGGGGAAGGCAGCTTTACAGGTAACCTGTTACCTACACCATCAACCCATACCTAGGCAGTACTGAGCTGGGTATCAGAGTGAGGCTCCAGGAGAGGAACCAGCTCACACATAAGCCACTTCTGCCAGAGAAACCCCTGCAAGTAGCAGTGGACATACCCCCTGGCTCAGCAATCCCTTGAACATCTAACCTGGTGCCAACTATGGCGCCAGAAAATGGTGGTCATGGGGCGGGGGGTCTCAGCCAGTCTCTGGGGCCACACTGGGAGGAGCCTGTAAAAAAAAGATGCTTCCTATTCTGCTTGCCTACCTCCCAACAAGGTCTTCTGGGCCCCAACCCTGAAACAAACATTTCTTTAATGAGCCTTTTTATTTTTGTGTTTTGTTTTGTTTTTTTTTAATCGAAGGTCCCTTACTGGTCCTGCTTCCATGAGTGGCTGAGACCAGGGGAAAAGGGAGGGGTCATCTCCACAACACTCCATTTATACACAGAACTAAACAGACAAGCACAGAGTCACTATTGCGGTTAGAAGTTGGCAGCATGGGAAGGGATGGAACAGGTGAGGTGTAGGGGTGTTGTTAAAAAAAATACAGGCTCCCCCCAACTGGGGTTCCAGGGGGGAACTTGGTCTGCTTCAACCCAAAAAGAATCAGAAGATCAAAAGCAGTTTGGGAAGGCCAGAACCGTCAGGGATGGAGGGAGGAGGAAAATCCAGGGGTGGGGGGACTGTTTGGCAACTGGGGTAAAGGGATTGCCCTTCCCCTGCTGGGATCCCCCCAGCCCCTCCGGTCTGGCAGGAAGGGGGCAGCCTGCAACCCCCGGGGCAGGTCTGGGGCTGCCAGATGCTCCAGGCAGGGGGCAGGAGGGAGCTCACAAAGGCTTGCCCTCCAGGGAGATGACAGCACTGCCCCCCAGCTTCTCTGCCAGGGTGCAGCGGTCCTTGACCTCCTCGTAGCAGTTTGCTTGTAATTCATGCTTGATCCCTGTAGGAAAGAAAAGGGAGCATCTGTGAGCAGGAAGCACCAGGTAGCACAGTTTCTGTGGCTGGGAAGGAGCCAATCAAAGCAGATGGAAGAGAGGTTACCTCCCAGCAGGCAGGGAAGGAGGGGGAAAGATCCCCTCTGCCATGTCATTCACCACTTCCTGCAGCCAAGGTCTGAGAAGGGCAGGTGTCACCACCAACACTGATCCTTACCTGTCAGCTTCTTCTTGATGGCGTCCTTGGAGCTGGCATAAATCATTTTGCTCTTAAGGGGTGCACACTCAGGAGCCCTGGAAAGAAATAAAAGGGAACTTACAATAATAACAAAGCAATAGATGACTTCAAGAAACATGTGGGCTACCATCAACAAGTGTTTTATAACAACCTGTCTCCACCCCAAACCCACACCTCTCAGTTAACAAAGAGCCACAAAAGTTCCTATCTTGAGAAACTGAGCAAGTGACAGGAAAGAGCCTGAATGAAGAGCTCACCAAAAGATAAACACTAGGTCCTCCTTCTTGCTCTCCTTGGTCTCATAGGTTGCATCGTAGAGGGCATAGCGGCAGTCCTTGTCTGGAAGCATCTTGACAAAGGTGGCGTAGGGATCATCGACAGTCTGGCCCACATCACCTACCAGGATCTCCTTGCCCTCCTCTAGGATGATGTTCTTCTTGTCCTCACTCAGGCAGAAGAGCACTGCCTTCTTGCGCTTCTTCACCTCCTCTGGCGTTGAAGACTTGCGCACCTTCATGTCATTGAACACCTTAATGACGCCATCAGAGACAGCCACACCAGAGGCCTGGGGGATGAGCCACACACACCTCATAAATAAAAGGATTCTTTGCTTCTCAGGAGATTTCAGTCTGGATGCCAGCAAGTATAGATCCCAGTCTCTCTCCTTTTTTTTTTTTTTTTTTTTTTCTGGAGACAGAGTCTTACTTTGTTGCCTTCAGTAGCAGTGTAACTCACAGCAACCTGGAACTCTTGGAATCAAGCGATTCTCTTGCCTCAGTCTCCCAAGTAGCTGGGACTACAGATGCCCCCCACAATGGCTATTTTTAGAGACAGGGTCTCACTCTGGCTCAGGCTGGTCTCCAACCTGTGAGCTCAGGCAATCCACCCACCTCCGCCTCCCAGAATGCTAGGATTACAGGCATGAGCCACAAGCCGATCCCCCAGCCCCCAGTCTCATGTTCCACAACTCATTAATCCCCTTCCCAAAGCAAGTAATAATTTTCTTAGGCAAGCCACTATCAAAGGGCCAGGACTCAACACCAGAATGGCAGCCAGGTCCCCTGATCACTTAGGTTCAACATCCTCCTTCCCTCACCCTACAAGCTTGAAATTGAAGATTCATGAAAAACAGAGATTTGGCTGACATGTGAACACAGAATTAAACCTATCTAAAGGCTACTGGCTCATGTGCTCCTCACGGTATTCAATCTCAGCCTTTGGATAAGAGGACATGGAAATTCGTTGATATGAGAGGAGGCCCCAAACACCTGAGCCTTACACCCCGCTCAGGAAATTAGAGATCGAAGACTTTGGAATACTAAGTGGGACATGAACAACGCTCCATAGTTTCAGCAAGTCCATCAGAGCTGTTCAATACTGTTATAACACAGACGACTCTCTTCCCTCCCAGGGTCTTCCCAACTCAACCCCCAATTAGAACCCTGTACAACAACTTATCCTCCAGGAATTGGGAGGGGGGCCAGCACCAGAGATCGCTGATAGAAATCGACAGGCCCAAACTGACAGCTCTCTGAACTACTCTGCGATGTGGGGACACCCTAGCCAGGAGATGCAGCGACCGTCCACGGTGAAATCTGCTCCCCCACCCCCCGGAACTGCAGAGGAAGCCGGACACGTGACCCCGCCGCTTCCGGAGTGGGCGGAGAAAGGAGATCGGTTAGGCCCGGCCCCCTCCCCAAGAGAGACTCTAGCACCAGAGAGTCAGCAGCACGTCCAGGGAGGGCCTGAACCCCCAAGAATCGCCTTTACTGGCGGGCCTAACAGCCCCGTCCGCTGCAAGCTGGAGTCCCAGCAAGTTACACAACCGTCGGTTCTCACAGCCCTCGGCGGAACACAGAGGACAGCGAGGTTTCCGGGCGGCGCCCGCCTTGGTCACTTCCCTAAACTCGGCTCCACCCTCAGGCCCCATCCGGAAAAGCCCTGCAAGTCCAGAGCTTCAGCCCATCGGCCGGGCCCGAGCGTGTGCGCACGCGCCGGACCACAACGCTGTTCCAGCCCTTGCCTGATACACAGGCGAGAACCCCGCTAGCTTTGTAGGCTCGTTTGCCCCGAGCAAGGCTGCGGCCCTATGGTGTTCGCTCCAAGCATTAAAGATGCAAACCCCTAGTTGGGGGCAGCCGCGCCCCAACATCCCCGCTAGCCGCGTCAATCCCCGCCACCTGCTCTCTAGACAGGACCGCCTGCCGAGGGAGGGTGACGCGGAGACAGGAACAGCCCTTGGGTGGGGCGCGCGCATCGAGACCTCTGGCGCGCTTTTCTCTTGCCGCCCCCGAGCCGGGTCGGGATACCGCGTGCTTCAGTCGAGGGCGCGCTCCCGTGGAACAACGCGCGACACTGGCTGCTCAGCGAGGGGCGCGCACGCTCCCGGACCCCTCCCCCTACGGCCGGTGTCCGCGCGGGCGCACCAGGGCGGTGGGGGGAGGGGAAGGGAGTCCAGGGGGCGCGCGAGCGACGTCCAAGCCAGCCTTCCCCGGCTACCACGGCGCGCACGCGCACCGCGGCGCCGCCCGCCGCTCAGTGTGGGACCCTTATCCCGCCCGGGGCTCTGGGGGCGGGGGGAGCGGACGTAGCTCCCCCATTGCCTCCCGCGCGCAGGCGGCCGACCAGAAGCCGCTTCCCTTAGGCGCCGTTCTCTGAGGCTCACCATGTTTCCGGAAGCGAAAGGGTGATGGCAAGGAGAAGCAGAGAAGAGGAGAGCCGCTGCTACTGCTGCCGGGATCCGACTGAACGCGGCCTCTCCCGGCCCCTTCCGTTTAGTACGAGCCGCACAATGAGGGGCGGGGCGGGCTTCCGGCGCTCCCTCCGCAGGAGGACGGGAAATGAAGTCCGAGGTCCTGCACGGTCCGCGAGCTCGCTGGGTAACAGAGTCTTTCTCTCTAGCCTGCCTCCGGGCAGCGCATTGCACACGGGGAAATGTAGGCCGAGGCCGCCGGGGGCGGGGCTACTACAAGCAGAGCTGGTCCGTTGGTCAATTTCCCAGGAAAGGCTCTGGAGCTGAGCAATGGGCTGCGGAACTCAGTAAAATGACCTGAGAACGATCTTTGACTAGGCACCCCTTTATCCCGAAGCAAAACGGGTTTCCAAAGACCCATGCGATATTTGCTGGATACCTTGGTCAGAAATTTATGACTAGGGTTAGGATTTTGCTTTTCTGAATCGAAGCTATTATTCATTGGCCTGGAATACGGTCCCAACGCCTGAAGAATCGCAAGTATAAAGGCGTCTTCAATCCAATAGACATTGAGTGTTTTCCATGTGACAAGCAGCTCGTCTCCTGAGAAAAGTCCATATGCAACATCAATAAAATAAGAATGAAGGGGCACAGGAGAAAAGCTACAAATAAATCTTTAAAGGGAGAGCTTTGTTCTTGATTAGAGATGCATGGCAAATTCATGAGGCTATAAAGAGGAAGGCCGGGGTGGGGGTGGGGGGTATGCATTCAGTTCTAGGCTTCCTTGTGTGCCTTTTACCAGGCAGTGAGAAGAGGGATTGGCTATTAAACCGGACTTGAAGCTGGTTCTCCAGTCGATAGCCAGGTATTCTAATACCCACAAAAGTTGAGAGACAGGCTTTGTGTGAGCATAGCCTTAAGAAAAGAAACTAGGGTGGGAGATTTCGTTGGCTTATAGCAATGCCCATATCCGCACACACTGGAAGAAGAGAAGACAGGATCGCAAACAAATCAGGGGCAAACCGTGGAGAACTGGGACCTTGATCCCATAAGCAGGATAGTGTGAACCCAGAGCAACGCCCTGGAGTGTGGTACCTCGCAGAGCATGTCGGGGGTTGTAGTCCAGGGCATCCCGCCACACCGCCCACCAGTCGAGGTCCTGGGCGCTGCAGGTGGAGGCTGCAGCTTGACCCGCGCCTCCCACCAAGCACCCCTACAAGAACAGGAGGCTAACTCCACCTTTTTAAGCCTTAGAGTTTCCAAGAGCAATGAGGAGGGGGAAGGGAGGCTTTGCAGTTACCCCGGATCCGGCTCCCGCCCGCCCCCAGCCGCGGGATGCCCTAGATGTCCTTATTAGGACAAGAGACTAGAAGGGGGCGGGGCCAGCCCGGATGCTGGCTTCAGGCGCCTTATAAGGCTGCGTCGGGTGGGAGGCGGGAGTCCTGAGCAGGCTGGGTATGCTGCACGGCGGTCTAGGCGGAGTCTGGAGGGGCGGGCTCGGAGCTCTGGCGCCCGCCTCTCCCCTTCTCGCAGGCCTGAGACCTGCACCGCGCGACTTCCGGTGTGACAGCTAGGGGCTGGGGGCTGCCCCAACCTCTGGAGAGACCTCTGTGCGCAACTCAGCTATACATTCTCCTAAAATAGGATCCCTTTGCAGAGTTTCCATTTCCAACTTCCCTGAGGGTCTCCCACCTTCAGTGAACTACAAAATGAGGATGTGTTCTCCCCTTCTACCTGTCTTGCTCTCAGCTTGCTCCCCCGGAACCAACCAAGCACATCTCAGGCCTTCTCACCTGCCAGGAGGCCCAGCAGTTATTACCAGCAACCCATCCTTTTATTTGGCCTCTGGGTTCCTCCCCACCACCGCCGTTCTATTTTGAGCCTCTCTGCACATCCCCGACTTCGCCCCCACCCCCCGCCCCATACACACGGCCCTGTGTCCCGGGGCTTGGAATCACACTTTCTTCCGCGGTTTCTTCAATTCTTCCTGCCTTACCTTTGTGTTCTCATCCCCTAAGCCTTTTCTGGATGTCCCTCCCGCACATATGTTTGCACTCGCTTGTCCCCCAACCCCTACTTCTCCCGGACACCTCAAGCCCAGTGTCAGTCTCCAGCCTCCTTTACAAGGACGAGGCTGAAACTGACAGTCTTATAGGCCTTGGAATTACCAAATTCAGTTTACTCTGGTAAGCTCCTCCCCTAGCTAGCCCTCCCAGTCACAGGGGGCGCTGTCCGCTTTCCTCTAGTCTGTAAGAAATGACCACGCTCTCCTGGAGAGGAAGGGGCGGGTCAAGGCTCTAGGGGCCTGGGTGAGGAACCTAAATACTGGTCCTGGCCGGAGGAGGTGCTGAGACTAAAGATCGGTGGAGACAGCGCTCTTTACCAACTACTTAAAAGTAGTGCCAGGGGCAAGGGAGGGCTGGAAGAGCCTAATCTAGTGTCCCTTGTGGGACCACGTGTTTGGAGAGGTCCGGCCCTCACCCTCGATTTCCCTCGGTAGCCAGGTGTTTCAACTCAGACTCTATAACTGGCGGCGTCCCATTTTTACAGGTGTCGGGCGTCAGAGGATTCGCCCTAGGGCTCATGGCGACGCCTGTCCGCCTGGGCCGGAAACGCCCGCTCCCAGTTTGTCCCAACCCGCTCTTCACACGCTGGCTGACCGAGTGGCGAGACGAAGCAGCCAGTAGGGGGCGCCGCACCCGCTTCGTGTTTCAGAAGGTCGGTCCTGCTGTGTCTGATTGATGGTTGCAGGTGCTGGCCAAGTCTGACCTATTCTGACCAGATACCCTACCCACTACTCCCATCCCGCCAGGCGCTGCGCTCCCTTCGGAGGTACCCGCTGCCGCTGCGCAGTGGGAAGGAAGCTAAGATCTTACAACACTTCGGAGACGGGCTCTGCCGGATGCTGGACGAGCGGCTGCAGCAGCACCAAGCATCGGGAGGTGAGAACCTCGGGCAGGGGTCGGTAGTCCCGGATTTCTCAGGTCCCGTCTCCGTACCCATTTTGGATATCTTACTTTAGGCTTCCCCGCTCCAGTTCAAGTTGCCGTCTGACCTCAAGCTAGTGGCCTGTTTTCACGTTATGCTGGAGTAAGCTGCAGCTCAGACCCTTGTGGCTGCCAGATTCCCTGGGGTGTGGAATTGACACTCTTGATTTTATAGGTGACCGTGTCCTGGACCCACCATCTGGAGAGACGTGTCCAGCCTGGGAAGGGCCACTTGCCAAAGTCCAGGATTCTTCTTTGCCAGTGAGGAGTGGGGAGGGGATTGGGAGGCAAAATGTCAGTGCCAGAAGTACAATTTCCTGGCTTTGGGTATTTAGCAAGCCTGGTTCGAACCTCACCAGCAACCTTAGTCTTGGGCAAATGACTTATTCTCTCCTGAGTTTTAGGATTTTAGTCTGTAATGGGGATATTGATAACAGCTGATAAAAAGTCCAAGCTCTTTAGGGGGCCCAGCTCAATACATTATGAAGTTGCCATTGCCAAGTTTTCCTATCTAACCACCCTTGTCTTGCAGTAGGCAGTAGAATGGGCCAGGCAGATATTCCTGCCCACCACCTGTGCCCTGCTGCTATGTGCTGTCTCATCCAGATTTACAGGGATCATCCCATCACCTGGCTCAGTTTTGCAGAGAAGGAAACTGAGATGCAGCTGAGTGACTTGCCCAGACCCATGTAGCCTGCTGTAAACCTTAGCTCTGTCAGGGATTCATTTGAGGATGACTGGCTTGCTTTCATACTCAGAGCCCCTCTATACCTTTCAGGTTCCTGTCCAGCCCAAAGTAGGAGGCTCTGGCAACTACTGGCCAGCTCGGCATTCAGGAGCCCGAGCAGTACTGCTGCTGCTTTACCAGGAACACCTGGTGAGTGCTCAGCTATGCTGGGAGTCAGAAACCCAAGCAGCAGGTGGGAAGCTCCCAGCAGAACCTGTCCTGGGCAAGATCACCCCAGCCACTTTCGCAGGGCAAGGAAGGGTACTGAATTTATCCTTTGTCTTCTACCTTGGTTTCAGAACCCAAATGGCCACAACTACTTAACCAAGGAGGAGCTGCTGCAAAGGTGTGCTCAGAAGAACCCCACGGTGAGCATAGAGGTGGGAGGATTAGGCTTGTGTGGCTCTAGAGCCCATCAGAGACTACTCTTGATAGCAGTGTCAGGGCCCTGGTCTATGTATGGCCCTTAGCCTGAAGCACAGAGAGTGTGGACTTCGGTCACACCAGGGGCTCTCTGAGGGTCTCCTCTCCTGTTAGCAGGTAGTCCCTGGGAATGCTCGACCTTGGCCAGCCCTCCGCTCCCTCCTCCACAGGAACTTAGTCCTCAGGACACACCAGCCAGCCAGGTGGGGCCAACTGCAAGGGATGTAGAAAGTAGGGGTGAGGATTGTGCATGACCTTCTAAGTGGAACCCTGCAGTTACCCAGCCATTCCCAGACTTGATACTATTGAGGCTAGGTAAAGTCAGCCTTCCCCAGGAGCCCACCCACACTGCTGGAGTACCAGGAGGGTGTGAGAGACTGAGGCAGCCGGTGGGAGGAGAAGGTGGTGCCATGGTTATTGAAGGAGTAGAGAACCTTTGTTGAGGAGATAACACATATTAGGACTTGGCACAAGAATGGTATTTCCAGGAAAAGGAAAAAGCATGAGCGAAGATAGGAGAAAGAAATTTGTCTGAGACATGTTTATGATAGACCCAATTCATGGCACTGGGCAGATCCTGAGGAAACCGATTTAAAAACAAAGAAAATGGGGAAGAGAGGAGAGCCACTGTCCTTGCTTATGCAGGGTTGCCAAGTGGGTAGTGAGGCCAGCCTAGCTGGGGGCAGGCAGGATAGCCTGCTGGGTGTGCATGAAGAAGGGAGAGCTGTGTGTGTCCTCTCTACCTCCCAGGTACTCACTGACCCCTGAGGGTCTGGACCTGGCCCAGAAATTGGCTGAGTCAGAAGGTCTGAGCTTGCTGAATGTGGGCACTGAGCCCAAGGAGCTCCATGGGGAGGAAGCCACAGTGCCAGGAGCAGCCTCTCCTGAGCTGTAAGGAGGGGATGGGGCAGGAGGGGTCTGGGAAATGAGGCCAGCACCCACTTCTATCTCCATCACTTAGAGCTAAGCTGTGGCTGCCTTCCCTGCTGTGGGTTGTAGGGGACACTGCCCTGGCACTGGGGATTCTGGCCTCTCATACCACACCCCCTCCCACCAGTGGCAACAGTGAAGGGGAGTTCCAGCAGCCATCGCTGGAGCTGGGGCCTGGAGAGTACAGGGTGCTTTTGTGTGTGGACATCGGCGAGACCAGGGGGTGAGTGAGGTGGGGTGAGACGAGGGAGATAATCACAAGATGTAGTGGAGTGGTTATGGGTCTGCTCTTACCCAACCCTTCCTCCTTGCAACTCCAGGGCCGGGTACAGGCCAGAGCTGCTCCGAGAGCTACAGCGGCTGCACGTGGCCCACACAGTGCGCAGGCTTCATATTGGGGACTTCTTGTGGGTGGCACAGGAGACCAAACCCAGAGACTCAGGTAAAGGGGCATGGATGGGCAGGCATCAAAGGAAGGGCCTGGCAGGTTGAGGGATGAAAGGTAATGCAACCCTTCTTGGCTTCTTGGCAGCGAGACCTGGGGAGTTAGTTCTGAACCACATCGTGGAACGCAAGCGGCTGGATGATCTGTGCAGCAGCATCATTGATGGGCGATTCCGGGAGCAGAAGGTTCTTTTTCTCGGCTTGCCTTGCTTCCTACTCACATGTGCCCTAAGGCCCCCTCTTAGCCCAGAGGAATCTATAGGCATCTCTGGTAGCCTCAAGGCATAGCCTGTGTGAACTCCAGCCACACCCCAACTAGAGACCCCTGTAGGCACACAGTAGAGACAACTGGTATCTGAACTGGGTTCAGGAGCATATTAAAGACCTCTTGGGTACCCACCACCTGCAGCCTTGGCTAACAAGGCCCAAACCTCTGGGAGTGGTGATGCAGAGGCTGCACCTCAGTACTGACAGTCACAGTACTGTGACCTCACAGTCACAGAGGCCATGTACAAACCCAGAGAGGATAGAAGGATGGTCAGCATTCAGAGATGGTATCAGCATGCCCAGGTATGGAGGCCCCCCTGAGATAGGTAGAGAGGCTAGGAGAGATGAGGAGGCTAGTTCATAGGATCAAGAGTCACATCACAGTTTTAGATGTGGTGTGGTGGATGGCTCAAGCATGTGGCCATCCAGGACTGACCCACCCTGTCTCTTCTGTCTCCTTCCCCAGTTCCGACTAAAGCGCTGTGGCCTGGAGCACCGGATATACCTTGTGGAGGAGCAAGGCTCAGTCCACAACCTCAGCCTTCCTGAAAGCACACTGCTCCAAGCTGTCACCAACACTCAGGTGAGCTGGGAGGACAGGACCAGGCTGGCAAGGGCCCCTGTGGCCTGGGCCAGGGCCCACCCTCCCTCTCCTGTGTCTTCTTCCCCAGGTCATCGACGGCTTCTTCGTGAAGCGCACAGCAGACATTAAAGAGTCAGCTGCCTACCTGGCCCTCCTGACACGGGGCCTGCAGAAACTCTACCAGGTAAGCAGATGCCCCTGTCTGGCACTGGTTCCTTGCCTGGGCCCCGTGCTTCCCTAAGAGAGGAAAGGTGGGTGAGAATCCCATTTGTCGGGCTGGTCCACTGAGGCCTAGGACTGGGCAAGGACTGGCTAAAGGCCGTCCCTTAAAGCTGCAGCCTGGCCTCAGTCCCTTCTTCCCTCAGGGCCACACACTATGCAGCCGCCCCTGGGGAATCCCAGGGGACCATCAATCAGGGGCCGTGTCCTCCCCAAACCCTCTCTGCTCACTCCTCACCTTCAGTGACTTCAATGCAGGGGCCATCAAGAACAAGGTACTCTTCCTCTCAGCTTCGCCTTACATGTCTGGGCCCCAGACCACCCCTGATCTAGTCCTTCCCTGATCCTAGGCTCAGTCAGTGCGAGAGGTGTTTGCTCGGCAGCTGATGCAAGTACGCGGAGTAAGTGGGGAGAAAGCAGCAGCCCTGGTGGATAGATACAGCACCCCTGCCAGGTATGCCCCTAGAGGGACCCTTAGGGGTCCTTAGTCCCTGCCCTCCAAGCATGAAATTCAGATTGACTAATGCAGTGGCCTGGCTCTGTGTGGGCTGTGTAGACCCAGAGATAGGGCTGGGAAGCTCATCGAAGTCAAGTGGGGAGGAAGACAGCCAGCCTGGACCAGATAGTATTCCAGACATTGGTGGAGGCCACAGGAGAGGGAGGTACTCTACCTGGAGGAGCAGAAGCTTCTTGGAGGAGGGTGCTGGGCCAGGAAGACTGAGGGAAGCTCTTGGAGCCTTTGCTAGTTTTGCCCCAGTGTTCCTGGGTGGGATGGAGCAGGGCCAAAGTACAAGCAGTGTCCTGACTTCTTTATCCAACAGTGGCCTAGAGCTCCTTACAGTACACCAGCAGTCAGCCAGTGTCAAGCCTTAGAAACTCAAATGTCCCAATGTCCCACCCACAGCCTCCTAGCTGCCTATGATGCCTGTGCCAGCCCCAAGGAACAGGAAACACTACTGAGCACCATCAAGTGTGGCCATCTGCAGAGGTGAGGGCAAGAAACAACTTGGAGGGAGTGGCAGGGCCAGGACTGCCCAGGCCCAGGGCCTGACCTGGCCTGCTTCTCCCTGCAGAAATCTGGGACCTGCTCTGAGCAGAACCTTGGCACAGCTCTACTGCAGCTACAACCCCTTGACCTGAGCTTATGCCACAACACAAACCTTAGCCCTCCCTTTCTTCTCACAACATCTAACATTCTAAATTTATGATAATCTTTTAATAATGTATATCAAGTTAATTTCAGATGGCTAAAAAATCTTTACTATTTTACATCTCCATTAAGCCTCTAACCAGGATCTTTTGGGCTACAATAAAAAGCTAAGTATTTGCTGCCTTACGTGTTATGGAGGAGATGCCAAGCCCCAGGGTTTGTATAAGACTCAGGAACTAGGAAGACCATCTGTTCCAGTGGCGGGGGTGAGGGAGGTAGGGGTGAGGTTGTTTGTTTGAGATAGTCTCATTATAGAGTGCTGGGGTGTCACAGCTCACAGCAACCTCAAACTCTTGGGCTTAAGCAATTCTCTTGCCTCAGCTTCCCAAGTAGCTGGAACTACAGGCACCCACCACAATGCCCGGCTATTTTTTGTTGTTGTTGGAGTTCTCGTTGTTGTTTAGCAGGCCCAGGCCAGGCTCAAACCCACCAGCCTCTGTATATGTGGCTGGCACCCTACTTACTGAGCTACGGGTCCCGAGCCCGTTCTAATGGTCTTTAAACTTCTGAGGACCCAGGGTTCCCTGTTCAGGGAGATAGAGTCAGTGGGTCATTACAACTTTGAATCTATATAATCAGATGTTCCCTGACCAAATAAAATGCCCTTTGATAAGAGTTTCTGGAGCTGGGCATGGTGCTTCACGCCTGTAATTCTAACGCTCTGGGAGCCCAGGGAAGTGGATTGCCTGAGATCAAGAGTTTGAGACCAGCTTGAGCAAGAGTGAGACCCTGTCTCTAAAAATAGCCAGGCATTGTGGCAGGTGCTTATAGTCTCAGCTACTTGGGAGGCTGAGGCAAGAGGATTGCTTCAGCCCAAGAGTTTGTGAGCTAAGATGCCACAGCACTCTAGCCAGGGTGACAGAAAGTGAAACTTCCTCAAAAAGTTTCTGTACCTTGGAAAAGAAAGGCTTGAAGATTACTATCAGTCCAGTTGCCTTACTTTATACATTGAAAATAGCCCCAGGGAGCTACAGTTGTCCAGGTGGGTAGTTTCAGGCAGAGCTGGGACCGGAATCTGGAACATAAGACCTCCTGGTGCTGTACAAAGTGGGGGGGGTCTCAGGACCCCTGCAAACCAGCCAAGTCCAAATCTCTGGGCTGGGCCTGGAATCCACATATTTCATAACCTCCTCCCTTCTTAGGGTGGACTTAAAGCCCAGGGTCCAAAGTTTCTCAGCTCCTATCAGTGGGGTCCCCTGGGCCTAAGCACAAAGCCTCCCTTTAGGACTAGGTCTGCCTCCCACAGCCCCAACCCCTCCCCCAGTCTGAGGTTCACTACAGTGTGACCTGCCCTTGGCCACCAGCACTCCTCCTTTCTCCCTTTATTGCCTTTCTCTCTGCTCTTCACAATAACGGCTCCCCTTTTGACAGAACACAGTCATCTCTGAGCCACAAGCTTCTTGGCTACAGGGGGCTGTGAGGAGGGTGATATCCTCCCCTTCCTCAGAAGGTGTAGGCCCCCACGAAGATGGTGAGTCTCAGTACAGAGCTGGCCCGGTAGCTCATGAGGGAGTTCATGGTAACCATCTCCAGGTCTAGCACGTACTCCCGGGGGCCTGTCACCGGCCGGGCGAGGACCAGCATGGCGCTGACATTGTTGATTTGCTGCAGGGCACAGTGGGAGGGGGGGAACATGTAGATTGTATCAGCCTAAGTGCCAGGGCCCTACCCCAGCATCACCTCCTCCCCAGTGGCCAAGAGGTGGACAGACAGCCCTGGCCAGACCTTTGGCTCTTGTCTAGCTCTCTAAAACCCTGGACATCTCTCCTCCCCTCCTGCGCTCTGGCTTCTGTTGTTGGGGATCTTCTGCTCTTCCTACCCTTTGCAACTAGTTCTAACCAGGAACCAAGGTTAACTGATGACTCAAGGCCAGGTGTGACTCTTGGGAGTGATAGGGCCTTTGATGTGGAGGGGGCAGACTCCATTTGAAGAATTCAGTGTCAAAAAGAGCATGCAAAGATGACCAGACATACCCCTTCCTATGCTGAATACAGCACAAAAACCAGGGCTCCCTTTGGCTGTGCCTCTCCTGGACCCCACCCACCTTCTAGATCCACCCAGACAGCTAGATTCTCTGACCTCAGGCCCTACAGAATCCTCTCATACCAGTCCCTTGTTTTATGGGTAAAGAAACTAAGGTCAGAGAGGGGAAAACAGTACCAGGACCCAAACCCCAGTGTCAGGTGCCTTGTTAGAATTTCATTTAACAGTTTGTCCTTTATATGATGGGAACTTTGCACACTTCTAGCTTCCTACAGAAATCCTGCCTCCAAAGGCACAGCTTTGAGAGAAGAGGTGGAGCAGAGTTGGCATAGCCCAGTTTCCCCCTTGAGACTTCCTGGAATTCAATTTTAGATTATGCAGGTCAGTTGAGGGGTGGAGGTAGGAGAAAGCCTTACCCTAATGTAGAAGTCCCCTTGCGAGTTTCCAGCACGAATCTGAAAGGCATTGTAGGCACCAGGGTAGACAGAGGTTGCCTGGATCTGGAACACGTCGGCAGGCACACTACGCTCTGAGGTGATGGTCATGTAGCGGTGCACGATGGATGAAGGCTGCTCTCGACACAGGGGGTTGGAGGCCGGACAGAGGCAGCGGCTAGAGACCCCGAGATGGGGGATGTGAATGAGGTCATTGCCCATCCTCTAAATCTCTACCCAGAAGGTTCCTCCCACTCTTGCTGTAACAGTGTGGTTTGGTCAAGAGGGACAATTCCCATCAACCCTCGGGTGTTGGCCAGTCCCAGTAGACACCAGTCTGTTCCAAAGCTCTCTGGGAGTTGTAGTTCCTCAGGCCTGGCATGGCGTTGACTCACTTGTCAGACACCTGGACATAGGGCTCAACACAGCGGTTGGTGTCCACGCAGCGGTAGCCCCCATGAAAGTTGACACAGGTTTGGGCCTCAGAGCACTGGTGTGCGCCTGACTCACACTCATCAATGTCTGCCAGGGGAAAGGGGCTGGAATCAGGGGTATCAGGCCACCAGCTGCTGACATTCTGTCCCCCACCCAATACCTGTACCTTGGCAGAGGCGTGTTGCCAGCAGTTGGTAGCCCTGTGGGCACTGGCAGGAAAAGCGGCCTGGCTCATTGACACAGCGGTACTGGCAGAGATAACTGGAATAGCTGCACTCGTCAATATCTGAGAAAGAGCAGGGATGAGTACCCTGGTCCACAGGCAAGCCTCACATTTTTGTCCTGCAAATGCTTACCGAGAGCCCAGCCCCATGTTATGCTGAATGTGGGATGAGACCAGCCCTGCAAAGCTCAGCAGCGGACAGGGTTCAAAGAAAAACTGCCCCAGCACATTGGACACCTCTGTGCCCCAAGCCTGAAAGAAGATACTAAATGAATGCATTGGGAACATAGAGGTTTAGGTGTGAACCCTACTGGCTGAGTTTGGAGAACCTCATTTTCTCTATCAGTAAATGATTGGGTTAAACTAGATGAGTTGTGAGGGCCCAACCTACTCTAGTTTTCAATAATTTGCCCAATTTCCACAATCCACAATCAGCCTAAGCACCCAGCAGCCATCCCCTGCCAACTGTGGGCCACTTTTGTTACCCTCGTGTTGCCAGTTAGCAAGGATGCCTCACTGCAGAATCAGTGCAAATGGGCCACCTTCCAGTTGACTGGAGTGAGGGGGCTGGGATGGAGCTCTTACTCAGTCTAGCTACATGAACTTGGGCAAGCTACTTAACCTCCCTTAGTTGCACAGTAAAAGTCACCATTTATCCAAGACTTTATGCTTATTTTTTGTAATCCTCTCAACAAATCTGGAGGGAGATGTTAATGTCCTCATTTTGCAGAGGAAGGAAAAAATTCTAGAGTTGTAGACAGGATTAAAGAGGCCAGTGAGAGAAGTATGCCACATAGGGTGGGTTCTCAGTAAGTGGCAGTTCACTTTAAAGTGCTGCTGCTTGGCACATGGTGAAGCCCATCTATTACACTGTCTCCCTTGATCTCACAACCCATTTATAGAAGAAATGGAAGAGTGACTTGCCCTAGTGCTAGATTTGAATGCAGGTCAGTCCAACTCACGTGACAGTGGCACCCACATTCTCAGTCTGCCCAGTGAGCTTCAGTAGGGACCTAATTTTCCGTAGGTACATTCCCCACCAGGCTGCAAGTGCCCCACAACCAGCCCTGGGTGGAGTACACAGGTGGGTGCAGAATGCATTGGACATGGAGGCACAAGTGGAAAACTGGAAGGGGGCCTTGGTGCCTGTGGCTCAAGTGGCTAAGGTGCCAGCCACATACACCTGAGCTGGCAGGTTCAAATCCAGCCCGGCCCGCCAAAACAACAATGATGGCTGCAACCAAAAAAAAAAAAAAAGCCAGGCATTGTGGCGGGCGCCTGTGGTCCCAGCTACTTGGGAGGCTGAGGCAGGAGACTCTCTTGAGCCCAGGAGTGGGAGGTTGCTGTGAGCTGTGATGCCACGGTCCTCTACCCAGGGGGAAAGCTTGAGGCTCTCCCCCCAAAAAAGAAAAAAAAACTGGCAGGGGACACAGCATGATAGATGCAGGGCCTGGGGGACCAATGAAGGAGAAAATGGTAAGTCGTGATCTTACCACTGCAGGAAAAGCCATCCCGGTGGAGCTCGTAGCCCTGGTGGCAGCGACACAGGAAGGTCCCATAGGAGTTGAAGCAGCGTTGTTCACATGGGGCCCCCATGTCACACTCATTCACATCTGGGGGTGACAGGAAAAAACAGGAGGGGTGAAAGCGGAGGAGCTGCCTAGAGCCCCCACTCCATCTTGGCTGGTGAGGAAAAGAACACCCCCACCTCACACCTCCCTGTCCAGGACCCAGAGGCCCGGCCTGGCCCGGCCCAGCCTCACCCACACAGGAGCGGTTGTTGGGCCCCAGCTGGAAGCCCGGCTCGCACTGGCAACGGAAGGAGCCAGGCAGGTTCACGCAGCGGTGCTGGCAGTAGCGGTAGCGGCATTCATCTATGTCTGGTATGGAGGCGAGAAGGAGGGCAGAAGGCAGAAGCCAGGTGGACCCAAGCCAGTTGGGACTCAAGGTCTTACCACCCATAGTCCTGTGTGTGTGGAGGGAGCTAGGCTGGGATAGGACAGCCAGGATACCCCCAAACATCCCCATAGAGCAGTGGTTCTCAACCTTCCTAATGCTGTGGCCCTTTAATACAGTTTGAGAACCAGTGCCATTGAGTCTTCTGTGTCTGATTGACAGGAGGGCTGAGGTGGCAAGAGACTGGGGTGAAGCCTCGAGATGGGTTGGAATGGGTGTCAGGTTATGGTTGAGAGCCCGTCAGGGGCACAGAGTAGGGACCACAGAGGCTGCTCCCTGGACTCACCCACACATTCGGGCCCAATCTTGCGGTAGCCATCGGGGCAGGTGCACTGGTAGGAGCCAGGCAAGTTATGGCAATCCTGGCTGGGGCGACAGTCATGCAGCTCCTGGGCACACTCATCCACATCTGTGAGAGACACCACTCAGCCCCACCTGGGATCCCTCATGCCATCCAACATGACAGATGGATCCAATACTTGGATTAGATCTTCCCGACAATACAAATAGCAGTTCACCAGCCTGGAGCCAACAGGAAAGGCACTGCTAACCTGTGACACCCCATATCAGGGGTCATGGTAAGCAAGGCACACACACCCCCAGCAACAATGATTCCTGGACTTTTCTTCCTCCAAGGCCTGTGGTCTCCAGAGGATAGAGGCTAGGAGGCAGAGCTCTTGCAGTGTCTCCACAGCAACTGAGGGGAGGGTCCCAGGAGCTGAGTTGGGCAATGGGACATGAACTGAGGCCACAAAGTGGGGATATGGATGAGGGTGTGCATGTTATCCAGTGGTCCTGAGAAGCCACACATGACTTTTGAACCAAGAAGGAACATGAGGTTGGAGTTTATAAGATGCTTAGTGTGAGGACTAGAAGATTGGGCACCAGAGTGACCCCCCCACTCACCCACACAGCTTTCCTGATGGTCGGGCTCATAGCCTGGTGGGCAGGGGTTGGGATGTTGAGTGGGAGGCACTGGTGGTGGGGGTCCCTCGCCATGTAGGTCATTGATGACAGCAGCTGAGCGGGGTAGGCACAAGTAGCCCCCATAGTGGTTGATGCATTTCATTTCCCCCTTGCAGGCCTCAGGGATGGTCAGGCACTCGTTGACATCTGCAGAGAGGGGCCTGCTGGGCACAGCCAGTCTCTTGGCCAGCCCTGGAGGGAGTGGGAGGCAGGAGACCCACTTGCCCTTCTCTAAGCTGTGTGATCCAGACAAAGCCTTCACTCTCTGCTCAGCAAGGTTAGGGCTTCCTTGGGCTGGAGATGGAGTGGGTGTTTCCACCTTGCCTTCATTCTCCTGGCTCCGTGTGGGTCTCTATCTCTCCCCAGAGCCCTGGCCCTAGTTCAGCCCAACCATGCAGACACTGCCTTCCCCCATGGGAACAAAGAGTTGAAACAGGAGAATGGTTTAGAGCTGTACGGGATCCCACCCCTGGGGGGGTAGGGGCAGGGTTTCCTCAATTTATGGGAGAGGGAGGGGCCATCCCTAGTGCATCTGGCTCCCAGAGAACCAGAGCTGGCCTCAGCCAAGCAGAGCAGAGCTGAGGATATAGGCCATTAAGCTCCTGCTGCAGCTCTTGAAGATGAGGTTACCCATGGGACAGAACACTCAATCCCTTTCCCAGCTCCTGGGGGTTGTTGGTCCCCCAGGCACACTTACCTCGGCAGTGCTGGCTATCTGGGTCCCACTCATAGCCATCTGTGCATTCCTGGAAAGGAACCAGAAGTGGCTAGTGGTCACCTTCAGGTCTCCTCCAGCTGGCCGTGCCTGAGCCTGGCCACCCTCCCTGGCTGCTCCAAACAATGACACCCCCACCCCCAGCCGCTGTACCAGCGGGAGGTGGGGAACGGGGACAGGGAATCTTCCCCAGTAGCAGCCACCCCAGGATTCTGTTCTCTCCATCCCTGCCCATCCTGTCCCAAATTTATGGCCCCCATCATCCCCACCGTGTAGCTGTCTGGCTCCTCAGAATCCTGGGGCGACGCTGTCCCCAGGAGCAACAGCATCAGCGCCCAGAGCAGTAGAGATCCGGAGAGGCAGGAGGCGAAGGGGAGCATCCTGGGGCTGGAAGGTGGGGGACTCAGGTCAGAGGCCTCTGCCACTGCACCCCTGATCCCTGTCACAGGACACGGAGCCCGGCCGCTCAGGAGCGAGTTTGGGGGGCCTGGAGTTTCCCAGGGCTGAAGGCCAACTCTTCCTGCAGGCCCGGGTCTCAAGCCCACCCGCCCGGGACCTCCCCGCCCCCGCCCAATCCCCCAGCGGCGCAGGCCGAAGAGCTCAGGCCCCTGGGTTCTGCTCTGCCGCCTACTCGGCTGAGATTTCGGCTTGCACCCTCCTCCCACAGACTGCCACTCACTTGGGCCGGCGACGGCCCTGAGGCCCGCGGCTCCGGCGGCTCAGCTGGCTCGGGCAGTGCCTGCGGGCTGACGGACGGGCAGACGGCACAGCTCCCTGGACGCGCAGCCCCAGGAAGCGCCCCCCGCCCGCCCGCTTGCCGCGGTGCGGCCCACCCCGGCGCCTCTGCCCGCCCTTCGGCGGATTCCTGAGCCCGCGCCAGGGGGAGGGACCCCGACCCCCAGCTTCTCCGCCCCCAACCAGCCGCAGGCCCCCACCCGGTCCCCCGCGGCGCCGCTGTGAGCTGCCTCCCGGCGCCAGGCCAGGGTCCCTCAGCGTTTGATCCTTGGGACTGTTGAACTTGGTGCCAGGCCCCCAGACTCAGCGGGGGGGTGGGGGGGTGGGGCTTACCTTTACCAAAAATGTCATTCTGCGCACCTAGACCTTACCTAACCTGCGCCCCCATAATCCCATCCTGTGCATTCACACCTTAAATGTCGCCCCCCGACTCTCATTCTGCTCCTCCCACGATTGTACTGGACACCTACACCGCACCTAATCCTAGGGACTCCAGGTCCTCACTCTAGTCTAGACTCTACAGAATTGTATTCTGTGCTCCCAGACCGTCACTCTAGACAGTTCCAAAGCTTCACTCTGTGTCCCCAGATCCTCGGCCAAGAACTAGTTACTCCCTGGCGCAAAACTATTCATCTCTTTCCTTTCTGCCTTCCACTCCCAGGGCCGTATTCAGCCAAGTGGTCCCTTCACTGCAGCACGGTCTCCTCTGCGCCCTCCATCCTCAAAGCTACAATAGTTTGGGACAGGGGCGACAGTTCACTTTTGGCCCCAAATGAATGGAAGCCCCTGAGAAAGAGGGCAGAGCTCAACTCAGATTCGCAAGACACCAGGGTCCGGCACCAACGTAACGTCTTTTCGATCCTCCTCCCACCCGCGTCCTTTACCAGGTTTCCGCCCCCACTCGCAAGTGGAAGGCGTGTCATCGGGGGCGTAGTCTGGAGGGAACTTGCTCCCAGGAAGGGGCGGGGCCACGTTTTGCCCACGTCTCCAGGCGGGGCCAGACGGGAAAGGCTGCGTGTCCGGGGATCACCCGCCTGGAACTAGACTGCAAGTAGGAATGGCCTGGCCCTTTTTTCCTCTTCTCTGTCCCCAGGTGAGGGTGTGCCGAGAAGGGGATGTGCTAGTGGATCCCGAGGTGAGCCCTGGGAGTCCAGGATGAACTGCTAAGTATCTCCTCCTCTCCTCTCCTCTCCGCTACCACCCCTCACCGTCCTTCCCACCTACTGGGCGAGGAATTAAAAAATAATAGCTCTTTAAAACCAAAAGGAAAAGACAGTGACAAGTGTTGGCGAGGATATGGAGAAATTGGAATCCTCAAAAGATGGTGCAGGCTCGGCGCCTGTGGCTCAAGGAGTAGGGCGCCGGCCCCATATGCTGGAGGTGGTGGGTTGAAACCCAGCCCTGGCCAAAAACTGCAAAAAAAAAAAAAAAAATGCAGCTTGCCTTGAAAAATGGTCTGGCAGTTCTTCAAAATGTTACCACACGACCCAGCAACTTCACTTTTAAACATATATCCAAGATAATTAAAAACGTACACAACAAAAAATCTGTACACAATGTTTATAGCGGTACTATATATGACAGCCAGAATACAGAAACAACCACTGGGCATCAAATGATGGATAGACGAAATACAGTCCATTCATGCAGTGGAATATTATCCGTAAAAAGAAATAAGTACTGATATATTCCAGAATATGGATTAATCTTGAAAATATTACACTAAAAGATAAACAAAAAGATGCTACTTTTTTGGCGATATTTCTTTTATGTGAAATATCCAGAATAGGCAAACCCATAGAGACAGACAGAAAGTAGATTAAGGGTTGACAGAGACGGAGGAGGGAGTCGGGAATGGGGTGCAACTGCTAAAGGGTATAGGATTTCGCTTTTTTTTTTT